AGCAGGGAGCCCTATGTGGGACTCGATCCCGGGACTCCAGGATCATGACCTGAGCCGAAGGCAGTCGCTTAACCAACTGAGCCACCCAGGCACCCCAGATTTTGGTTTCTAAATGCCAGTCTTCAGTAAAAAGACCTAAGGCTCCTTGAAGAAATAGCTGTTTCCAGGGCTGGGGCAGGAAGAGCACAGAATAAGTGTGGCTCAAGCTTGGGCCAAAAAGCAAAGAAGCTCCAGAGGAAAGAGAAGGCTGGAGGTGCCTCAGCAGGAAACAGGAGCACCATGAAGGGGGCCAAAGACCAACACTGGGGCGATCTGAGTAACAGATCACGGCACAATTGCCTCATGTGCTGAAGAATTACCAAAAAGGAACATGAGTCTGTACGGATGTAAATAAATGGGAGAGAAGGGGTGACACTTCCTTACAGAAGAATTCCAAATAATGTATCTGAATAAGTCCCCCTCCAGGAGGTCAAGCTTCATTCTCCTCTCCTGGAGAATGGGCTGGACTCAGCAAAACACTTGCAAAGAGCAGAGAACGGAAAGGAGAGAGTAACTTCCCTGTGGAGCTACCCAGAGACAGCACCTCAACCAAGTGATAAAGGTTGACGTCAACCAGTGAGAAGTCTTGTGGACGTCACACACCCCCGATGGGATGGAATGGGAAGGGCACCTCCCCTCCAAGGGATCGTCCCAAAAAAGGACAGATCTGTCCAATCATGGGAAAACGTCAGCCAGTCCCAGGTTGGGGGACATTCTAGAGACATCTGCCAGTACTCTTCAAAAGTGACAAGGTCTTGAAAACCAAAGGAAGAATGAGGAACTGTCAGTGGATTCAAGACTAAGGACACAGGATGACTAAATGCAAAGTGGGATCCCAGGTCGTGTCGAGGAACAGCAAATGAGCATTAGTGGGGAAACTGGTGAAATCTGAGTGAAGTCTGTAGCTTAGTTAATGGTATTGTACAGTGTTAATTTCTTCATTTTGACAACCGTACCATGGTTATATAAGATGTTAACGTAAGGAGAAGCTGGATGAAGGGCATATGAGAAATCTCTGTACTATCTGTGTATCTAGTATTACTCAACAATGAGAAGTTTATTAAAAACAAACTAAAAGCGCCATGCAAGCAGGAATACTTCATAACCTCATATTCTAGATGAGAAAATGGGTCCAGAGAGGTGAAGTGACTTGTCCGCAGTTTCGTACGCCTCCTGCACCCCCCGCCTGACCCCCTGCTGGCCTCTCCAGTGCTTGGTGTGGGGGAGGGATCCTCCCCGTGGACTGTCCCCTGAGCAGGGCTCTGGGGCTGGGCAGTCAGGTTGGAACCCACTGCTGCATCCCAGGATGGGCCATTGTCAGGTAGGGGGATAACCTTGGGGATGACCCCAACTGGGCCTGCCTGGCGCTCCCTCATTGAGGTTGTGGGTGCCTTCCGCAGCCCTGGATCCCCACATTGCTGGAGAGGGGAACAGAGCAGCCAGGTAACAGGATGCATGTCCTACAGGCTTCAGGTCTTGCAGAGCTGGGTTCATTCTTCCATCTAGTGGTTGGTGACCTTGGGCAAGTCACTTCACCTCTCTCTGATTCTCAGTTTTCTGATCCGGGGAATAAATGAGTTGCCACCTGTCAAGTGTGGGATATGCGCAAAGTCCTCAGTGCTTGGACTACCCTCCTCTTGTCACTGACCTCCTGGAGCCCCCAGCCTGTGAAGGTCCATGACAGCAGATGCTGTGACGCTTGGTGCCTGTGTCCCCCACGAAGAGGATATTCAAGGCACGTCAGAGGCAAGGGGCGTGTTCATCTATCTGTCCTACTAGTTTATGAGCCTGGTCACAAAAATTTAAGTGAGGTGTCCTGTCCCCTCCCTGCCACCAGCCATCAGTTCAGACCTCTGCTTCATGGTCTCTGTGGTCTCACCCTTACCAAGTATATGTGACAGTCAGGTCTGTATCCTCCTGGAAGTTTTAAAAAATAGATGCACGCTTGAATATACCGATATTGTTGTCGTAAGCAGAGAAGGGAGCATACCGTGCACACCACTCTTCCCTGCCTTTTTTCCAACTGATATATCCTGGATACCTTTCATACCGGCACATAAACAGCCCACTACATTCCACCCTCCCGCTGTGTCTGGCAACCCACAGTTGCCATCATCTGGGCAACCCACGGTTTATGTAACCAGCCTCCTGGGGTGGACATTCTTGATTCCGATTTATTGCTATTGCAAACATCCTTGTCCATATATTTTTATATCCTTGTATGGTTATTTCTGTAAGGTAGCTTTCCTAGAAGAGGAGTTACTGGGTCAAAGGGCATGTGTATTGTAAAATTTAGAAGGTACTGCCAGATGGCCCTCCAGGGATGTGGTCTGATTTGCAGTCCCAGCCACCGCATGCAAGACAGCAAATTCCTTTACACAAGAGGAAAAAGGCGTGAGGCATGGGAAGCCAGCCCTTAGCTACCATTTAGTGAACAAATATTTATTAACTAGGTCCTGGGGCCAGGTCCCGTGCCAAGTCCCAGGATCGTGTTGATGAATGGGCTTCGGTCTTTGTCCTTGGGGAACGCACGGCTTAGCAGGGCAGCAGACACAAAACCATCCTGTCTCATTACGTTGCAATTGTGCTCTTAATAACTGAAGGAAACAGCAAGGGCACAGATCACAGTTTGAATTCTGCCTCCTTCACTTAAGAGGCCGTTTGGCCTTGGACAAATTCCTTGACTTCCCAGAGTCTTGGATGTTGAGTCCTGGGTCCCGTGTCCCTGTTGTGGACTGCACCGGGTTTCCCACTCGCACGTGTTCTCTAGGGGTCACAGTCCTACGGTCCACTGCCTGAGTCTGTTTCAGAAGTCTGGTATCAGAGAGCCTTAGCTTCTTGCCCAGACGTGGATGGAAAACCCTCATCAAGCCTTCAGTATCAGAAAGACCTTTCTGGTTGAAATACCTCCTACCTGCCTTTTATGTTTTTCATTCATTCATTCATTCAACAAATATTCATTTTGTACCTTCTCTGAGCCAGACACTGTGCTAGACCCTGGGGCCACTGTGGTACTGAGACACTGTCTCTGTCCTCCTAGTATGGGGTACTTGTAGGGTAAGCAGTCACAGAGTGTCTGTGATCAGGGCTATTGGACAGTGGGTTTCAGCTGAGCAGACTCAGTGCTTACTGTGTCCACCTGCTGGGTTGACCAGGCTTCATCCAGGCCTTGGACAGAGCACACAGATTTCAGAAAGGAGCCTTCCAATCCCTGTCCCTCCATCCTCCGATCTGGACTGAGTTAGAGGTTTGGGGCCCTTTTGCAGGCTTGGGGGAAGGAAGGCAGTTAGAAGACCTGGCTTGGTCTAGGTCAACACTGACCTTCAGAAATACCTCCCTATTTTGGGCCTTCCATTACAGCATCCAGTGGGTTGCTGGGGCTTGAGCGTGGTTTGGGAGGGGTGAAAATGGTTCTGAAATGCCAGTGCTATGTGATCCTGGAAGATTCCAGGTGAAGGATGTTTTGCCTGGTGGGGGGATTCTTTCCTATGTATCCTAGCTGCAGTTTGCGGGTGAGAAAGAGAAGGACATGAGCTGGGAAGTTAGGACGGGTGGCTGCAGGAGTGCAGCGCGTTGGTCCAGCCGCTGGAGAAGACAGCTGAAATTCGTTTCTATGCCACAAAAGCAAGCAAGCAAACACGGCCCCTCCGTATAAACTCATGCAGCATGTATTTAGACATAGGTTGCCAAGTGAGCAAAGCATGGTTGAAAAGGTTGTATATGTTATGCTGTTGTTTTCTTGGAGGAAAAAAGGATGTATACGTCTATGCTTAATGCCTGTGGAAGGATGCAAGACCATAATGCTGATACCTCTGGGCAGGGGGCTGCAGATCAGGACTGAGAAAGAGACTCAACACCCTCTGCCTTTTTAAGCAGCTTGATTATTTTTCTTACCATGTGTATGTGTGACCTCTTATGAAAAGGAAAAAAAACAAAGTAAAACCCTTTAATACTTACTGCCCCATATAGCTTTTTCAGTGTTTGGAGAATTGGAGAGTCATTCTAGGATCCTGTAGGTTGGTCTGGTTTTAGAGATGTGGTTGGAACTCTGGGGATGTCCCTGTCTTGCTCTTCACTTGGGAGTCCTAGATTTTGGAGTTTCTTTTCTCAGGGCATTGCCTCTAGAATTCACAGGTTCCAGGCCTGTCCCCCCACCTGCCTTCCAGTGTGTTCCCGGACCTAGTCTCTTCCTCTCTGAGCCACCATTTCTACACACTTCACAGGGGCGTGTGCCCCCGTCAGGCAAGAGTGTGAGATGTCAGGGTGGCTGTTCATGCTCCCACGGCAGGGCACGTAGTAGGCGCCCAGCAAACTCTTACCCTCTTCCTTCTTCACTCGGAATTCATCTTTGTCCATTTTAAGGTAGGTGGGTGGATGGATGGATGGATGGATGATGACTGGTTTTAGCATTTATCACAGTGCTCAGCCAGTCCAGGAGCAGGCCATCAAGAAGGTAGCAGAATCAGCAAGTGGGACCAGGAACTTTTTTTCTTTGCAGGAAACTACGGGTCACCCCATTTGTCAGTCACCTTTCCCAAACCCTCCAGGGTCTCCCTGATGAAAAGTCCTAATAATGAGTGAATGCTCGAGCCTTTATTACCTGCCAGGCACTGTTTCAAGCCCAGTCTCTATGTGGTGGAAATTCTCAGAGCAGCCCCACAGGGCATGTTGCCATTTAACAGATGAGGAAATGGAGGCAGGGAGAGGTAAGTAACTTACTCAGAGACCCACAGCAGGTGAGCCGTGGGCCATACTTTGTAAGCCCTTGCCCACGGCACGCCTCTGTGATAAGCCAGACTAGGCGTGCTCAGCCCTCATTCTGTACTCTTGGGGGTGCCTCCTTGTCTGTTACTCCCTCCTGTGTGCCCAGTTCCGGGCCAGGCACTGGAGCTGTGGGGTCTCTGCCTACAGGGATATCAGCTTAGTGAGAGAAAGCAGCCACAAATAGCCAATAAAATGTGGAAAGTATGAGAATAGATTCTGGGAACACAGAGGAAAGAGGGACCAGCTCCACCTCTTGGGGTGAGGGGAGCTTCCCACCAGAAGAGATATTTGAGCTGGGCCTTGGCCTGGGAGGACAGGAGGGAGTTCACCTGGCAGAAAGGAGGATGAAGGGGGGGGAGAGGGGAAAGAGGAGGGAGGATGAGGAGGGGCTGGAACTGTAGGAACAAAGGAACAGCAATAAGACACATATCTACAGAATGGCACATGGCTCAGTGTGGCTGGGTGTTAGATGTTGGGAGAGTATAAGGAGATGGGGCTGGAGCTGAGGGCCAGATCCTGGGACACTGGTTATGTCTTGCCCCCAGTTGTGGCTCCAGGGGTCACAGATTTCATCCTTGTCAGGAGCTCAGCAGACGAGATAAATATGAGTGATGTGGGCCAACTCTGGAGCTTTGTTCCATTCTCCCTGCATTTCAGACTTGTATAAAGAATTCCTTCCATAAAGAATTGTCTCTTCTCTTGAAGCACAAGTGCTCAGTTATCCTCATTTTCTGAACTCTGATGAGGACAGGGGCACAGTGTTGATGGTGCAGCTGGGGGTGGCAATAAACAGAGACAGACAGTTGGCCTCAGCTTGCGAATCAGGGAGACAAGAGGGAGTGGTGGGGCCTATGGCAAACTGGCCAGCTCAGACCCCATGTGGGAACAAGGGCTTGAGTGTGGTGGAGCAGCCAGAAATCTGGACTTTTATGTGAAATCATATTGTTCAGTGTCATCTCCGGATTTTAAAATACATACCACTTTTGCTGAACAGTATACATTTGTGGGCCACCAATTTGCAACCTCTGTTGTTGACTGACCTCTGCATTAATATGCTCGTGTGGAAGGAAGCCAGGCTGGCCGCCCTGAGGACCTGCCTACCTATGGGGGTCAGTCCCCACAGGAGGGTCAGCTCAGTACCAAAGACAGTCTAGCTTTCTGGGAACAGGGCTGCTTCGACTAAGAAGGGGCTTTGGAGTGTCAATGGGGCCTCTCTCCCCCTCCCCCTAAGCAGCTTTCCTCAGAGGGCAGGGGGAAGGGAGGGGAGGGGTGGGGAAGGACCAGCCCCCCTCAGCCAGCGTCCTCTACCCTTAATGGTGTGTCTCTGTGTTGTTCCTTCCAGTCTCTATCTGCTGCTGCCTCTTCATCCTCTTCCTCTTCCTCTCGGAGCTCACCGGATTCATAACGACGGAAGTGTAAGTTCCATGCCCCCTCAGGGGGCATTCTAGAGCTTTCTGTGACCCCAGATGAGAGGAGGGAGGGGCTTTAAAAAGGAGAGAGACCTCTGAACCTTCCAACTCTCTCATTTGCAAGCCCGTGGCGTCCATCACTCCTCTATTTCTTAAAAGGGTTTTGAAGTTAGAGCGAAAGCAAACACTGTTTTGTTGAAGCCAAAGAGAACATTCGGGTTCTGTTCTGTGGGGGGGGGCCTCCTGGGTACTCAGATGAACAGAAATCATGGACCCGTCTCTGCTGTCCCTTTTGTTTGGCCAGTGGGCTTTTTTCCCTCTGAATCATCGCAGGGTCATTTGATGTGAAAGCTGGGGGAGTTCAGAGAAACGGGTGCAGCTTCCTAGCCGAGGGGGGCGGGGCTGCTGACATCAGAACCCAGCCCCCACAACTAAGCCCCCTTCCCTGCTCAGAGGCCCACACTCCGTGAGGAATCAACGTGAGCTTCCTGGCAGTGCTTGACGCATTGTGAATCGATACCCGATTTCTAGAATCATCCTTTGCCCAGATAACCTAGTAAGTGCTCTGGGGTATGTGTAACACAAATGCCATTGGGATTATTCAGTCACGGCCTCATCGGCTGCCCTGAGGTGGAATTAGACCCCAGGGCTTCCTGCCTTGGCCACTGGCTCAAGGCTTCCAAGCCTCTTCATTCCTGTGTTTACAACCCAGAAAGTCATCATGGGGCTGGGCCCTGGCCACCCACTCCCCTCTCCAACACGGGAATTTTCTTTCTCGCTCATGGAATTTCTTGGTTTCCTTTGCCTCCCTCTCAGCCACAAGACAATAGGAAACAAAAACCATAGTTGCTTAGCCCAAGACAGGCCTCGTAGCTGCGGAAGTGTTACCACCTTTAATCCTCAGACAGCCCTGGGATGTACTTACCTCCTTACAGAGGAGGAGAACTGAGGCTCAGAGAGGTGGAGGGACTTGCCCATGCTCATACACTGAGGAGGGGGCTCCCAAGGTCCGCCAGTCTCCTGAACCCACAGGTGTGTCGGTCTTATCTGTTCCCCACCACCACCCGCCAGCCAAATCATGTCATTCCTGCCCTCCGCTGGTTTGGGACAGTTTGCCTTCCCTGTCCCTCTGATCCTATTCTTAACCCTGATGGCACCAAAGCCCAGGGGGTCTCATGGAGTGGTGGAAAGAGCTCTGGACAAGGCATCGGGAGACCCAGGGCCAGGCTTCTGCTTGATTACCGCTTTGCTATGTGACCCTGGGCAGGTTGCCAAACCTCTCTGGCTCTCAGTATTGCTGGCCAAACAAAGGAGGGTACACCAGAGTCAAAGCTTCCAGGTCTGGGGAGGTTTGTCTGCTTCCCAAGACATGTGACCCCCTGACCATGCAGGGGTCAGAGAAGGTTCTTTGTCCCACTCAGTTCCTAATGGGGGGTGGCTCTGTGCATATTTGGGCCACTGGATGTCTCAGGGGTCACCCCATCATGAGTCGGAGTTGGAAACAGGGACAGCAGCAAGATATTAAGACCTACTGTGTGCCATACACCTGCTGGTCTTTGCAGGCTGCACCCCATTCCCTGGTGGGGGAGGCGGCTGCTGTACAACCCCCTCATGTTCTGAGCAAGGTGAGTGGGGTACATGTGTGACAGCAAGGAAGGAGCCCCAACTGTATCCCAGGCACCAAGGAGGCTTTATATATTCCAAACAGGGCCGCCAGGAAGTGCGAAGGCCCTGAGGCAGGCATTACCTGGTGTACGTGCAGAGCAGATAAAGAGCTGGTGTGGCTTTGGAGCAAAGTGAGCAAGTGGGGAAGATAGAATATGGAGTAGGTAGGACCAGGTTGGACCAGGTCATGCACACTGTTGTGTATTAATGGGACTCATTCTTGGTCCTGAGCTCCCAGAAGTCAGAAACCAGGTCTGCCTCATTCATTGCTGTGTGGTTCCATGCTCAGAGGAGCTGAAAATGCCAACAGTGGACACAAACCATGAACAAGTGAACAGAACTAGACTATATCAATTAGTGAAAAAGGCTCTGAAGAAAAGAAAAAAAAACACAGGGCAGGAGACAGAGAAGGTATGTGATATTTGGTGAGGTTTAAATAAGATTATTTACCAGAAAGGTACTTAATGTAGCACCTGATATACTTTAATATCCATGGATCCATAGCTCTTCACGCATTTATTCATTTCATATTTATTTCCCATCTAATGCTAAAAAGGTAAGGCCACCCAGCACGTGCCATTTAATGAACATTCCATGAATGTTAATTTTCTCATCCCCTCCCCTGAGCTGAGAACAGCCTCCTTCACCTCCTGCTGACATTGTGAGGGGCAGCTTATTTAGCTGTTTGTCAGCTCAGCCCATGGTGAGGTAGGGTGCTGAGCCAGTGGGCCCCAGACAGGTAAGTTGTGACGTCAGAGCTTGCGACTGGAGCAGGTGGGGCGCTACCAGCTGTGTTAGGGGCCACTCGGGCAAGCCTGCCAGCTTGTTCTGTTTAGCCAGGACAGGGCACACTCCTTGCCCAAGAGCACAGTGTGTTCCTGCTGCTCTGCCTTCTGCCCTGCTCCAGGATTTCCCTTTCCTGACTCCCGGGGCATCCTGGACACTCTGGTCCCAGCACGTCCCTGGAGAGGAAGAAAGATGAGGGATGAGTAGAGTAATCAGACTGTAGGGCTGTTCGCGGTGTGTTTACCTTTTGTCCTCTGCTAGGCTCTTCATTTGCAATGTGAGTGGCTGGAGGGAGGGAGGGAGGGAGGCAGGAATGAGAAGAGAGACCTGTGTGTCTGGAGCCCAGGGGCCAGAAGCCCCATCTGTCATGATGCAGGGACCCTAATGCCCCCTCTCCCCCCGCTGCCACGTGACCACGGTGTAGGAGTGCCCAAAAGGAGTCTGTAGGGGTGAGGACTGAGGACTCCACAGAAAAATCCAGAGGAAAAAGTATTGTTCTGGTCTTCCTGCTATCAGAAGCTTCTCTGATCCCTGGGAAGGCCTGCCACTTTGGGAAGAAATGAAGGTCACAATTATTCTTTAATGGATGGCTGGCGCTCCCTGGCAGTTTTGTGACCACAGTGGGTCAGCCCCCCCGCCCCATGAGATCGTATCCCAAGGAAATGAGGTCACTGCTGGTAGGATCAACATTGCTCCAACCCGGACCTGTGGTTATCAGTGACATAAGACACTATTCTGGCCCAGCCCGGTGGGGAAAGGAGGCCTGTTTGTTTGTGTGGTTGGATTCTAACCTGGGCTTTAGACAGGCCATTAATTACCCTTGGGAAAGTGGCCCCATAGGGTGCTCTGCAGCTTCAGGTTTCCAGGGGAGCAGCAACTCCCCCCCCCCGCCCCCGCCTCCAGACAACATGGCTGCAAAACATTCCAGCCTTTGACTGCCCAGGCTTGGCTGCTCTTAATTATTAACCCAATGAGGATTTATAATAAGAAAATGTAGTAACTGGAACTCTCCACTGATAATTTATAGTATAATACATGTGTTATACTTTCTAGTTACAATTTATAATGGGCAACCGCGTGCCCGCCAGCCACCTAGGTTAGCACTTTACAGTGATCATCTCATTTAATCAGCACAGAATCCCTTGAGGGAGGTTCTCCTGTTAGCCTTAGCCCCGCTGTACAGCTGGGGAAACTGAGGCACCGGGAGGCTCAGGCCACAATGGGGTTAGTAAGTGGTGGAGCCAGAGTCAAACCCAAGTCCATCTGACACCAGAGCCCAGCCTCAGCACCCCTGCCCTGTCATACCACCTTTTTCTGCCCAGAGCATTTTGGGTCCCCAGGTGCATGGGAGCTGCTGCCTTTTGGTCAGAATGTTGGACTGGAAGACTTGGATACACCCTTCCAGGGTGAGGTGGCCGAGCAGGCAGTTAGAACTCCAGGAAGTCATTGCCCACCTAGTGGGAACTTGGAGGTTACCTTGAACTGTGTACTTACGTGCTCCATAGCAGGCCCCTAGTGGGGAGGCCAGGAGCTTAACCAGGAGGAAGACCTGGCTGTCTCCCTCAGAGCCCGAGTTACCCACTCCGAGGCCTGCGTTGGGAGCTAGAGCCAGGTTGAGAGACCCAGGATTGTCGTGTGAAGGAGCACTGGTGGGCCTGAAGGCTTCCAAGCTTGGAGTGACTGGACCAGGTTCATGCTGCAGCACAGTCACCTCTTGTGAAGGTGAACTGGGGGCAGGGTGACCCTGGAGGGCAAGGCCCTGGTGAAGAGACTGGGCGATGGCAGTGGAGAAGGGGGTGGGGGCAGGACTCGGTGGATTTTTGGGCCCCCCACCTGGTAGGGAATAGGTGGGAATACTTATTTATACTTGGAATGGTCAGGATTTAAAAGAAGGTCCTAGAGGGCTTGCTTACATAACGTACATCCCTCCCCTTCCAGCCTCTGTGGGCCTCACTGCTGTGTAAGTTTCCATTAAATCAAATTATTAAGCACAGAGGTCAGCGACTTTGGGCAGGAATCTGAACTATTCAAGTGCTCTTCTAAAAGCAAATAAAATTGTTTTCCATAGATGTCATCGGACTCACGCCTCAGCCTAGAATTTCAGGGCCCTTGGTTACATTCCACCTTCGCTCCCCTCCACCCATACACCTCCCCAGTCCCTCTCATTCTCTCCCTACATGGCCACCGCTCACTGACCCCCATGCAAGCCAGCCAAATCCCTGACGCTGTGTGGTGTCCCCCGACTGGAATGCGCCCCCCTCTCCTCCACCAGCACACGTTGCTTACGTCCCCCATTCATTCTGTAGAGGTTGTGATCTCGTGCTCTGTTCTCCTGGCTCGGGGAGCCCTGGTCCCACTTGGTTGGGGAGTCAGATGTGGCAGCCCGACAGGGTGAGGCAGATGGAGGTGACCAAGGGAGGCTTGTGGGGCACAGATGGAAGGGCCCGTTTACACCTCCATGCCCTGTGGGTACTTGGGCCATGGGTGGGGATGGGGTGGGCTTCTGAAGGTTATCAGAAAGATGATGACACTGCATCACAGGTCTGCTTGGGGAC